TGAGGTTCTAAGATAGTGCACATGAGATAACTTTGTATGATCATGTCAGTAATAGATACTAAATTTTCCCCTGAAAGGTGGACTGATGCAGTTACCAGTAAGCTGAGGAGCTATGGTTGGCAAAAGTAGCCTTTGCTGATGAAAGAAAAGAGGATGAGACAGGCGTTCATGACCTAGATCTCTAGTTGTGGTCTTCTGCATGTCTGCTGCAACTCTGCCAGGCTTTCTCTGTTGGAGCTGGACACGCCGAGCATGTGGCTCTCAAAGTCAGTCTCATGATCAAGCAGGGCTGAAAGGAAGAAGTCTCAGCTTGAGTTTGAGTCATGACCTGTTGTGGATGGAGCAACACACTTCACTTATAAGAGAGAACTATCAATACTGATATAAAACAGTGATTTGACAAAGTTTAATAATAAATACTAAGCTGACAGAAAGGAGATTTAGATGAGACATGAGGAAGAAGTTCTTCCCTGTGAGGGTGGTGAGACACTGGCACAGGTTTCCCAGAGAAGCTGTGACTGCCCCATCCCTGGCAGTGTTCAAGGCCAGGTTGGACGGGGCTTGGAGCAACCTGCTCTAGTGGAAGGTGTCTCTGCCCATGTCAGGCAGTTGGAACTGGATGAGCTTTGAGGTCCTTTCCAACCCAAACCACTCTGATTCTATGAAATATAACAGCGATTTAACAAGATTCAGTGGCAAGGAACACTTGAATGTTTACTGCATGGAGACCCTCCCATTGAGTCTTGAAGTTCAGAAATTACCCTCTTAATTTCTAAACTCCTTCTCAGAAAGGAGTCTAGGTGCTTCTAAACAGCTCTGGCTGTGTCCAGACTTCATCTCAGTTTTGGTTTATGTCTAGAGGATTATGTATGCACAATCTATCTTTTATATGACTTAAGATTTCAATGTGTAGTATGTTGTTAATCACTTACTGAGACTCTGTTGTGGCAAAGAATCTCTTAACCTCGAGGAGTAACCTTGGGAGGTGTGTCCACCAATGTGTGTGTAACAGAACCACCTGTGTCATCCCCTCCACAGGACTCACTGAAGCATTGACTTTATTAGCACATTGAGATAAGGCTTGATAAAAATTGGCTGTTGATCCGCTTGGTTCTGTTTACACAATTCCTTCAAAGCTGCTTGCTCTGCAGCATAATGTTTTCCTCTCTCAAGGGAGTCAGTCTGACAGCTGCCAAAGAACGGGGACAGCTTGTCTTCTTGGAAGGCCTCAAGTCCTGCCTTGACCTTTGGTTTGGAGAGGAGGAGGATCAGTCAGGACAGCCCAGTCCTCTTCAGTTTATAAGGTAAACCTGACCAATTGGTGGTTCTGCCAGTGCAGCCAATACCGAGAGCATCAGCAAGGTCTGCGGTTGAGATCAGGCTCCCTTTGGGCTTTCCTCTGAGCCCCAAGGACGGAATAGCTGCACACCCAAGTGAAGAAAAATGCCATCACCATGCACATTGCTGTGCTTGCCCTGCCATGCCTCTCCCTGCTGCTCAAAGAGGGACTCTGTCCCCCTTCTCCAGAATTTTAGAGCGATTTCCACCCTTATGCCCATTGCTGAGCATATTTTAGGTCTAGAGAAAATATTTCATCACTCAACAGGTTTGTGTCAAATAAAACTCCAAGGAGCTTTATTCCTTTTGTTATTATTTTCAGTTATACTCCGAAAGAACAGTACTGCTTTAATCACGCTGGCTTTCAATTTTATTTCCACTTCACGTTCTCTATGACCCTGATGATTTCATAGAAAAATATCCACTGAGGGCTGTTAAATTGGCAAATACCATCCTTGGAGCAAGGACTGCCATGTACTTGGTCTGTCCATGGATGCTTCTGGCCCTATGCTGTTTCAGACTCATGCTGGGGTGGATGGGCCTTTGGTGAGAGTAAGGGCAGGCACTGAAGCCCTGCAGACCGCTGTGCCATAGGACCATGCAGCCCTTCACGTCTTGGAGAGCGGGACTTGCTGGAGTGTGGCAGGACCAAGCACGGGACAAGCTTGAGAAATCGGCCCATGGGAACCTCTTGATGTTCAACAAGACCAAGTGCAGGATCCTGATACCAGTGGAAGCTGGGGGATGAAGGGATTGAGAGTAGCCCTGAGGAGAAGGACTTGGGGGTGATGGTTCGTGAGAAGCTCACCATGACCCGGAGGTGTGTGCTTGCAGCCCAAAAACTAACCATGTCCTGTGCTGCATCACCAGCAGCGTGACCAGCAGGTCGAGGGAGGGGATTCTCCCCCTCTGCTCTGGTAAGACCCTCCCTGCAGTCCTGCATCCAGCTCTGGGACCCCAACATAAGAATGTGGAGCTATTGGTGCGAGTCCAGAGAAGGCCACAAAGATGCTGTGAGGGCGGGAGCACCTCTGCTATGGAGACAGGCTGAGAGAGCTGGGCTTGTTCAGCCTGGAGAAGAGAAGGCTCCAAGGGAGACCTTAGAGCAGCTTCCAGTACCTAAAGGGACCAACAAGAAATCTGGAGAGGGGCTTTGGACAGGGGCAGGTAGGGACAGGACAAGGGAGAATGGCTTTAAACTGACAGAGGGGAGATTCAGATGAGGTCTTAGGAAGAAGTTCTTCCTTGTGAGGGAAGACGTTGGGTCAGTGGCTGAGGGGGACAAGCAGTGTGTGCATGGGCCACGCACTTTGAAACCTCCTTCTTCTCTTCCAGCGAGAGTGCTTCCGACCTCAAAGCCTTGTTTGACTTTGTCCGGCTGTCCCTGACTCCTGCCAGCAGTGACTCCTGGAAGTGCCCTGTGCTGCTGGTGGATGACCTCAGTGTCCTGCTCAGCCTGGGTGCCGCACCAGTGGCGGTGCTGGACTTCATCCACTACTGCAGGGTTGTGGTGTGCTCCCAGCTGAAGGTACCGCTTCCTCTGCTTGTAGCGTCCTGTATGCTTTATGTACAGAAGAGCCTCTGGAGCAAAGACAGGCTTTCTTTTCTTTCTCCACCTGTGCATGATGAGGTTTTGGAAGGCTTTGGCTATCCAAGGAATTACAATTATTGCTCTAGGGCCATTCGCAGGGAGTTGCGTTAGTCTCTGGAGTACCTGTGTAGGGTCCTTTTCAACTGGTTTCCCAGGAGATGCTGCCTAGAGAAGAGCTTGTGCCTGACATGCAAGCAGGGATTTGAGGTGCAAAATAATGTTTCTTAGAGCTCCTGGCTCTCCAGAGATCTCTACTCACACTTGTGTTTGTGTGCATGTGGGAGAGCAGGGAAGGAAATGGGTTACAAAGGTAGCGAGGGGCTGATGAATCCCCCAGGGGACAGAAATGAAGGTCCACTCAGAGGGCACCTGAGTCTCTGCTTCCACCAGTCTTCACTGTTGGTGTGTGTTGCACTGGCTGGTTTTTAAGGGCGTATGACAATGCAGCACTTCTACGAAGCTCTCCTGAGCGATGTGCTAACTTCAGAGAACATTGCAGCCAAAAATCTTTACAGTCACATCCATCCGTTGCTATTTACGTTGCAGCGTCCCCCACTCTGGCCACTTCTCTCTCTGCTTGAGTGAGAAATAAAGTAGATGGCGTCAAGTTTTGTTATCCTGTGCTTCATATGGTGCCAGGGTGTGTGTGCTGTAAATGCTGACAAGGGATGTTCTGCTTGCTGAGAATATTTACCTCCAAAACAGCTAAAAAAGATGATAAATCACACTAACACATCTCTATTTCTGTCTAAGAAAGTTCTGAAGCTTCAAAGTGCACTTTAATTGACTGGGAATTTCATGTTATTTTAAGTCCTTGGTGACCTGCATGGGCTGAGGCAGAGACTCTTGGGATGTATTTTTAATACAGTTGGTGGTGCTTTGGGGAAGCATTTTGCTTCTTGCAAGAGCTGTGAAGCTTTGAGCATTGCAGCTGTGGCTGCATCCGTTCAGCCATGTCTCTATGTAGCTGTTCTGAATTCATTCAGAGAGTTGCCATTAGTGTGGACTGGTTTAACTAGGCAGCTATCTCGTAACAAAGGCTTGATGTATTTTTAGGCTGCATGTTATATATGTGTGTATATATATATATACACACACGTATATGTATATATATATACAGTATAGGGATAGCAAGCTCTTTCAGAGTTTTAGATGTATCTGCTGTTTATATTCTCAGTGGACTTAGCTCAGAACCAGCTGCTGTGCTGGGAATGTGTAAGCAGCTTAGCATGGCATTTCACAAGCTCCCATTGCTGTCTCCTCTTCCTTACCCTGATGAGGGATTAGGAATCAGCCAGGGACTCATCTTTGCCCGGTGCTCTCATTCCAGGGGAACATCGTGGTGCTGGTTCACAGCAACGAGGATTCCGAAGATGAGGAAAATGAACTGGTTGTGAACTCCCTGTGTCATCACAGTGACCTGATCCTGTGGGTAGAGGGGCTAGCGACTGGCTTCTGCAAGGATGTTCACGGGCAGGTAATGCACGGGAGAGCACGGAGAGGTGGCAAATGGTAATGTCACATAAAACACTGCCTGCAGGCCCAAGGGTGAGGGAGACATGTTCTGTCTACCCCATGGGAGACAGTCCATGCTGCAGCATGGTTAAGGACTAACAAGCAGCCTTGTTGCAGTCACCAGGATCTGCTGGAGCAGCTGGGATCTTGGCTGTGACTCTGCTTCTGCAGGGATATTCAGGGACACCCTGTCACCTGGGGACTCCCCCATATCTGGAAGCTGGAAGGGGTTTATATGGCAGCTGCAGTGCAGGCTGTATCTCACCCCAAGGTGATGGCAAAATAAAATATTCATTTCCTGGGAAGCTACCTCAAACTGTCATGGAATCACAGACTGGTTTGTGTTGGAAGGGACCTTAAAGCTCATTTAGTTCCAACTAGACACAAGGCTATTTTTGGTGGATCTCAGCCTGGCCTGTAGTGCTCCTCCTGGGGCTGGGAGGGCAGCTGGATCGCTGGGGCCTGGTTACTGTATGGTCTTCTGTCAGAGGCTGCCACCAAAGGGACTGGTTACAGGCAGGTATGACAGGTTTTTTAATCAGTGATCCTTCTCATCTCCCTTCCCTGCAGGCCAGCAAGAGGCATGGAGGGGTGAGGATGCTGTGACTGGGTTAGCCAAAGGGATGATATTCCTATTCTTTTGCTTTGCAGATTAAAATAACTAGGAGAGTGTCCTTGGAGCTGACAGGGGAGCAGGATGTCGTCCAGATCTACCAGTATAAGATCCAGGACAAGAACGTCACCTTTTTTGCTAGAGGGCTGTCAGCTGCAGTCCTGTGATGCAGCGATACCGCACAGTGCTGTGAGAGCAACGTGGAGCAAGGCTGGGGAGGCTGGTATGTGCCACCAAACCAGCCTGGCTGCTTCACCAGCACCTTCCAGGAGCAGTGCAGCAAACTGACCCAGGAGGGAAGCTTAAACGCGTGTTGAACTGCATGCCAACAAGAGGATTAGCCTGCCCAGAGTTTGCTGCAATCCCTTTGTCCTCCCACCCTGTTCCCAACATACACAGGCCAAAAAAAATTGCACAAACTTGCCAGAATGGCCCTTAGAGCGTGTAAATACAAGCAGGAGGGATGCCCCTTGGGCTGGGCATGCCTCACCTTTTCCGGTGTGTTATGGCATGGCAGTGCCAGGCACTGCTGCGTGGAGGAATCACCCCACCCTCTTGCTGGCGTTTAATGAGATGACACAGAGTGGGTGGAAGCAGGGATGGTCTGGGAGCATGTTGCAATTATTACCTTTCTCCCAGCTCTGGCACAGGAGAGAGATTTGCTCAACTCATCTTCCACAGTGTTGAAAAAAAATCAATAGCTGTGTGTACAGCCCCTCACCTTTCTGCAGTGAGATCCAGACCTTGCTTGGTTGATCCCTTGCTTTGTTTAGTTACTTTCCCTCTTTTCACGTGAAACCCCCATGCCATGGTGCCCCATCCCTGGCAGTGTTCAAGGCCAGGTTGAACGGGGCTTGGAGCAACCTGCTCTAGTGGAAGGTGTCCCTACCCATAGCAGGGGCTTGGAGCTGGATGAGCTTTAAGGTCCCTTCCAACCCAAACCATTCTGTGATTCTATGTGTGTCAGTTTATTGTGCGGCTTCCCAAGCTCATCATTGGCTTTATGTGATGGATGGACACTTGTACATGAACCTCTGTCTCAGCCACTGCTTCCCAATCACAAATCATGAATAGCAGTTCTCTGAGCTGCCTGTATTGAAGCATGATTGGGGGCTAATAAACATTTACTTTAGATAAAGGGTACAGTCATCAAGTAACCACAGATCTCTGCATGGGAAGTGCTCCTTGGCAGGGGAGAAAAATTGGCATCTCCTGAGCACAGGTGAGGAGATAGTTTTGGATCCCTGGAGCAGAGCTCAGACCTGGAGGTCTCCTTGTAGATGCTCTGGTTGTAGTGGGAGATAAATAATATCCTGCATGCTGGTGAGACATGAGAGTGACCTACCATGTCCTTTGCAGCTCCGGAGCCAGGTTAACAACTCTGGATGTGGGAGTGGGACATGCTCCTGCTATTTTCCACCACCTGCCAATGGTGCCTGGGCCAGATATGGTACTGCTGCCAGTGGGTTCAAAGCCCTACCCTGGCAGAGGCAAGCTGGTGGCTTGGCCTCCTCCCGAGTCACACCAACCATCAGGCTGGAGCCTACTGTGCCTTTCTGGGGTAAAATGTGTTTCTTGGCTGCCTGCTGTGGGAGTGGCAGAACCCAGCATTGCTGCTGCTATCCTGGCATGGTGGCAGAGCCGTGGGGACAACGTATGGTCACCATCTGCAAAGGATGGCCGGGACAGCTTTGGGGATGGTTGCTGCTGCAGGCACTACAGCTGCTTAAAATGCACCTGTAATGGGCATATAATGTGTAATTGAAGCAATACCTGTATGATTAGCTTCCCCTTGGAGAGATCTCAAACCATCCCTGCTCCAAGCCCTGCTGAGCCACCCTGCGAGGCCATGACCCAACCAAGACCTTGCTCTGGAGCTGATGCTGCAGGAAGAGATGTGGTTGATGGCAGAACAGGGTGGCCTTGGCAGGGTCAGCCAACATCTGTGCGCTCAGGGCCACCACTACCCGCAGCTCTTTGTTTGCCAGCCAGAGGTTGTGTAATGCTGCATCCTGACCGATAGAGCAGGTGTCACTTGGCCCGAAATTTCTGGTCTTCATTCCCTCAGCCTTGGTGGGAGCAGCTGGGGCCTTGGCCAGGCAGCAAGCTGGAAAAGGCTCACCAAGGCTGGGACTGGTAAGATGGGATACAGGCCCCTGGGAGAGGGGTTGATGGTATCAGGCAGGGTTGCCAGCAGCAGAGACTGCACTGGAGCCTGACAGCTGCAAGACAGGCCCTGTAAAAGCTGGTTTGTGGAGGGTGCTCAGCCCCTGGGGATGAACACGCAGGGGCTGCCTTTCCTGTCCCATTTCTGCTCCTTTCCTGCTTCTCACTCTGGTTTCCTGCTAAGACCTGCTTTCTCAGGGCCACTTTCCTCTCTGCACCGCCTCCCTCCTTGCAGGGCTTCTCCCAGGATTTCAGGAGTGATGTTTGGCAAGCAGCCAGGATCTGTGCTGGGGTATGATGGCAGGGCTGGCAGCACGGGCAAGAGGCTGTCTGGCTGTGGGGCAGTGGTAGCTTGGCTGCTGTCATCTGTCCCAGTCTGGCTTTACCAGAGCCCGAGCTGCTCAATCCTTTGCTGCAGACCTTGGCCTGCACATGACTTTCTTCACAACAGGGGGAAAAGAAGCCAGTGACTCTGCTCTGGTGCCGTGGGGAAAGCCTTGACCTTGTGGGCACCTTGTGCCCACACTGTGTGGCATCCACCCCATGCCAGGACTGTGCTGGCAGGAGCAGTGTGGGCATTCCTAAGACAAAAAGAAAAGATCGCTTGGCCTCAAGGTACCACCTGCCCCTTCCCCTCGTCCTGCTGCTCTTGCTCTCCTTTCAGTGCAGCAGTCCTCTGACCCAGCCCAAGCCATGTACTCCCGGTGTCTGGCTTACTCCCATTCCACGGCACTCCGGGAACGTGTCTGAGTCCCCGCCATCCCCT